AGGAAGAAGAGGGGATGCGCTTTAGGAAGGAAGGCAGGAGCCAGGAGGAGAGCCAAGCCGGCCCTGAGGGTAAGGCTGGCAGGGGCTGCTGAGGAAGAGAGGGATGGAGGAAGGAGGGATGAAGGAAGGGATGGATGGAGAGGCCCAAGCAGGCCCAGGCCAGACTGGGGGGAAAGGGGGTGGGGAACTGGGGGGGGGATACCTTTCCAAACTGCCTGCACCTCAATTCCCAGACCCCCTTCTCTTTCCCTCCCTCCCTCCTGGGGGACCCACATTCCTTCCTTCCTTCTTTCCTCTCTGCTACTCCCCTCCAAAACTCCTCAGGGGGACCAGACACCCTCCTTTTCCATCACATGTCCTCCATTCCAACTTTCTTTGCAGGAGGGGCTCCACCACTGTCCTCCATTTTGAGCATGAGTCTAAGAAGCATGGGTTTTGATTTGTGTTAATGTAGGGTGGTGGCCAGAGCTCCCCCTTTTCCAGGCCCTGTCCTCCATTCCCACCTTCTGCCCAGGAAGAATTCCGACATGTCCTCCATTTTGAGCATGAGTCTAAGAAGCATTTGTATTGTCTGTTTGTATTATTATTATTATTATTATTATTATTATTATTAATAATAATAATAATAATAATAATAATAATAAATTATCATTAAGAGCATGAGTCTAAGAAGCATTTGTATTGTCTGTATTAATTATTAATAATAATTATTAATAATAAGTATTAATGTAGGGTGACCAGAGTAGTGGAGTCTCCTTCCTTGGAGGTCTTTAAGCAGAGGCTGGATGGGCATCTGTCGGGGATGCTTTGATTGGGAGTTCCTGCATGGCAGGGGGTTAGACTGGATGGCCCTTGTGGTCTCTTCCAACTCTATGATTCTATGATTCTATGAGTGCCACCTTTTCCAGGCCCTGTCCTCCATTCCCACCTTCTGCCCAGGAGGAATTTCACAAGGTCCTCCATTTTGAGCATAACAAAAAAAGATGGATTAGTGTTTTTTATTTTTTTAAAAAAACCTTTTAGCTTCTATGGTAGTTTTTGTTAAAGCTTTTAGTTTGTAAATGCCCTACCTTTTTCTTGATGGTCCTACATTTTGCAGTGGCTTGTTTCCTTGGTGGTTAGGACATCTGGTCCAGAGTGACCAGAGATCCTCTTTTTTCTAGGACCTGTCCTCCATTCCAACCTTCTTTCCAGGAGGAATTCCAAACAGCCCTCCACTTTAAGCATGATTGAGAAGCATGACTTTATATTTCTATGAGTGTTTTTTTAGCAATTATTTGGTCATGGCCTACCCTCTCCTTGAAAGCCCTACATTTTGCAGTGCCCTGTCCTCCTTGGTGGTTTGGACATCCGGTCCAGGGTGACCAGAGGTCTTCCTTTTCCAGAACATCCCAAGGAACAAGAACATCCCAAATCCGCACAACAGAGATATCTTGATGGGGCCTACCAAAATGCACATGATACATGCTGCAAGCTTTCGAAGCTCCACTGGCTTCTTCATCAGGCAAAGGTGTTAAAAATCATTCATTTATTTGTTGCTATGTGCCTTCAGGTAATTTCTGACTTATGGCAACCCTAAGGCGGTGAACCTCTCGTGGGGTTTTCTTGGCCAGTGTCTTCAGAAGGGGTTTGCCATTGCCACCCTCTGAGGTTGAGAGAGTGTG